GCACAGGAGGGTGTCTACTTTCTTTTGGGGTGGGGGAATCAGTGAACGGAGTTCTTGGTAAGAAAGTGGGTAAATGTGTTGAAGCCCAGTAACGTAGGGAACTGGCTTGCGTATCCATATGCTCAAGCCTTTGTCTTTGCAGTGTTCGGTTTAGCAGTTGGGGAAACAGTGGAGGTGACGGCCTGCAAGGTGTCTGAGGCCTACATAGCTTTTGTTGTAGGTGTGTAAGTTCCCACCGAGAGAGTGACCTGTGAATCGACTATCATCTCGGGGTGCTTCCCTCAAGTCAGTGCCTCCCTCCATCGGTGCTGAAGCAAACAGAGGTCCTTGCCTGCCGTAACATGAGCGGGACCAGCTGCACTCACAGCCAGCTGCTGAGCAGACACTACTAAAAGATGCTCTCTGTAGTAACAGTAATAACACCGTTCTTTGCAATTTGGCAGTTTGGCTAGACATGTTATTGGTTATGATGATATTGAGTAAAAGAACAAAACCTACAGTTTGGCAAAGCTACTTGCTCTTTTGAGATCCCAAACTGAAGAAACAGAAAAACAGTTATTGCCAGAGAGGCCCTGCTATTTCACGTCCCTGTCAGTGGGTCTGGAGGTGTGTTGTCATTATACGTAGTCACTTATGAGGACTTTAATAAGGACTCTTCAACAGGTGTTCAAAGAACTGGCTTATTTTAGCAGTTCTTGTGAAGGTGTAAAACCATCAGGAGGCACGACTGCTTTGTTTGGGAAGTCAGGAGAGCTGGCGAGGAGGGAAATTTTAACTTCAGAGCAAAGCCATCCAACCGGTGGCAAACTGGCCAATTCACGGCATCTGCGCTGGCCGACGTAAGGGCTGCGTCGGAACTCCAGAAATGCAAACGGTCTCTTTCTGCACCCGCACGGAGCCAGGCAGCTTCAGGCCCAAGCCATATTGTCCCTGGTGGAGGAGGGAGCTGGCGGGCAGGCCCAAGGAAACAGATCTCTCAACATTTAATGAGTCATGAGCCACCATTGCTATGCAGTTCATAGGGATGGGTCAGAAAATGGAGATTACAAGTTAAATTGAAGCACCTTAATTCAAACAATTAAAATTTAAACAAATTAAAATTCCCAATGTGCATGAGCCTTGGTTATAGTGTCCAAGTCCTACAAAATACCAAATAGGAGGAAGAAACAATAGTTCCCATTTACCCCCTAAACTAAGCAGCACATGGCTGAGCACCACCTGGTTCTCAGCCAGGCTGCACTATTTAAAGAGTATTGTGAAATCTCCATTAGGAGGGTGAAATACATATTTATAAAACAACTGCTGTGTAAACTGTCTAATTAAGAGATAAAAAGGAATACTGGATCTCAAAATACATAACAGTACTCTTCCCATGTTTCCATTTCTTATTACCATAAAACTGTTTCTTATTTTCCATTTATATATATCTGTGGTTTTATTCTCGATGTTACAATTTTGTTTCCATAACTAGTAAACCGCTCTAGCTTTTTGTTTTAGAAGTAGCGTGATTCATCAGTGAATCAGGGTTCATTTCAGAAATTCACTCCAAATGGGACTGTGTCCAAATGACAATGAAAACCAGGGGATCAGAATATAAAGATACGCCAGAAATGCATTATCAGAACAACCTAGTGAAAGAAATAAGAATAAACCCACAATAAATTAATAACAACAACAGCACAACTCTGCAACTCCTGGTGGCGCATACTCGGGACCTCTTGGGTCACCAGGTATATCGTGCCCGGCTTGAGATCTGAGGTGGCACCACCCTTGCTCAGCTTCTTTCTGCTGGGTGGCCAGGCATGGACATCCCAGCCCTCAGGGTGATGGTGGCTGGAGAAGCCGGGACGAGGCAGAGCGATGTGTGCCGCACTCGGCAGTGCTGAACCCTGGGAGCAGCGTTGCGGGTGGTGCTAGCTGCCATAGCCACATGTGGGGAGCATGGGGAGTCGTGCCATGGCACACACTGTCAGCTCACCTGAGAATCTGCTGCAACCCTGTTGACCTGGAATCTTTAAGGTCTCATAATTTACTGTCCCTGATTCTCGCTTCTAGAAATCTGCCCTATGATGCCTCTGTAACCCTTAGCTTGTTTAAAGAAAATTTTTATCCAATACTCTGATCAGTTCCATGTAAAATTGGAACACTCTAGGAGTCACATCAAATTTTATGTTAGAGGACAACACAAGAGTAACGAAAATACACATACAAAGCACCAAATTAAACAAGCATGGACAGAAGCTAAGGTTCAGCAATGTAGCTTATGTGGAAAATGTCAATCAAGAGAACTAAAGTATGAAGGAAAGCTTCTGGATGATTTATAGGAAGACTGCAGCTGCTAAATCCCCCCCTCACCTCACCATATGTAATCCTCATGAAATTACATGAAATTACCCTGTATTTAAATGTAGTTTTGAAAGCTGGGCGAGCTGGAGCTCATCCCTGGCTTAAAAAGGTCAGATGTGCTGCTCTACAATGCCTTGTCATCTTCTTTTGCAGCCACTTAATATGACTCTATAAGGAAGAACATTTGTGTCTCATGTCTGTTGTAAGGCTAATCAAATTTACAGCCCAATTCTAGGGAGTTAATGCTATTGGGGATTTGGATGAGCTGAGGTTTGGTCATTACAAAATTTCAGCTGTGTTTAATGCTAGTTATACTGCTTTA